AATTATTTTTCCTAGGTGTTCAGTCTGCTCAAGCTTGGAACAACTTCTGTAAACAAAGAGGAGGTGACGGGCACATTACCTGCCTTCCCGTGTGTCCCAGTTACTCCTGCACCAGTTGCATTTTCCAGTTGATATCCAAGTGTATATATATAGTTTGTCTTTGTATAGGAGTGAGTGTGGTGGCTGTCAATCGTGCTCTTCCAGTATTGTAATTTAACAGATTATGGCTGTATGAAAATGATGTAAATAACTAGAAAAAATTAAACTGGATCTCTAATGTCCTAGTTTTTGTACATACTGAAACTGCATGGTATTTAAATTATTGTTTGTCTCTGATGTATGCAGTTTCTTAAAAAAATTCATTTAAAAAAAAGCATTTTCGTGCCTGTGTATTTTATCACCCTCTATCCCAGTGACTGATAGTGTAACACATGGATGCAGTCAAGGATACAGCCCTCCTGCTGCCAGGCAGGCTTGCCCACCTCCGTGGGGAGCAAAGCAGAAGAGTGAGACTTAGCAGAGATGATCAGTGGAAAGTACTGAATGGGCCAGAAGCGCCATTGCTGAGCTGGATCAACAAAGGTGTGCAAAGGAGGATGATGGTACCTCTGCTGCTAAAGTTGTACCCAACACTGTGCTAATGAAGAGCAAATCCAACAGTCTGCACAAGACATACACCCCACACACACATCCACACACACATCCACAAACACAACCAAACCCCACCTGTCACCACAATGTTGTTGGCACAGGGAATGCTGTGCCAGCTGCCAGCATCAACATGCAGCATTTGCCAGCTCTGCTCTCCCTTCCCTGTTCACAAGCCTTTGTCCAATAGGCAATATCTGGTGGTTAAAGAAAATGCCAAGTAGCACTAGCAAGTGCTGTTGCTGTTCAGCAGAGGAGCCTTTCCTGCACATCTATATTGCCTTTTCATCTTTTTCTTTTTTTCTCTCTTTCCCCTGAGTAGCTTCAGTAGTTGCACAGCATTTCAGGCTGTAACAAGCTGAAGCCTCTGTGAAGTGAAGAAAAAACCTACCCATGAATAAGTACATACCTTCAAACAGGCTCACTGGCCTCCAGCAGAAAGTATTTAAGGTAACAGCTCTGCTTAGGCTCTTCAGTTTTTGTAACTGATGGTGCAAAAATTCTGACCCTAAAGAAACAACTGACACCCAGCATCCTCACAGTAACTGGCAGATGGGAGCAGTTCCCTGACACACACGTAGGCTTCCAATTACACAAAAATTGAAGATCTATGTATTTTAACTGACCAAATTTTGTTCCTTTCCTTTGTTGATAGGGAGACACAACATCATCAAAACTCTGGTATGGGCCTTTTTTGTTTGTTTTCATTTGGGTAAGTTTTCACTGAACTCCTTAAAATCCTTGTTTGTATGCATTTCCATTCTCACAGCCAACAAGTTTGTAGCTATCCAGTGAGGCTTGGATAAATAAAGTAAACAAAATCATAGTTTTTGACTAAAGATCCCCTTTTCCCGCAACTAGATATGGCTTCCACAGCAGCAGTGCAACGTGGTTTGGTTACATACAGTAATTTCTGTGATTTAACAAGAAAAATATTGGTGAGAATACATTGTACAGGGAATATGAGAACACAGTCCAATCTCTTGCGCTGAGACCTCTACAAAAGGGATGGGGTTCTATGTTTTAACGGAAGTTTTTCATAAAACCAGTCTGAGTGATGTGTGTGCCTTCAGTGAAGTCTATGTAATTACTAGCAATCAAATTGCAATCCAATGCCATCTTCAGGCAGGAAACAGAGAAGGCTGAAAAACCCAATTCTCCATTTAACAGACACACCTGGCTTGCTACCATGCTCCTCCTGGACGACATAAAGGTTAACAGAAAACGAATAGCAAAGATAACCCCTTCCTCTTATTAAGTACTTAGCCAAGGATTTCAGTGTGAGGCTCAACTATATGCAATTTCAAAACAATCTGTGTCTAGGAGTCCGTAGTAGATAAAAGAGCAAACTCTAGTGGGATTTCCCACTAAAAGAAGTGCCAAGCTGGACACCACAATTATTGAGCTGGTTTAGTTCAAGAGGTCAACTGCAGGCTGATGACAATTGCTGGAGGCACAGACCCAGGCTTCCCAAACAGTGGACTCTGCTCCAGGCTGGGACTTTAAAAGTACCTTGTCTCATGTTCCCCCTGATTGTCACATGCTGGAGACAGTAAAAGCTCCCACTGTGCTCTTCTGCTCTCTTGGTAAGCAGGTCTCTGAGCTGAAGCATTTTGCTCCACTGAGCATACGAGCAACTGAGCAATCACCAAAAATTAACTGAGCATAAGTTAGCCAGATTCATACTTCCAGTCTTTTGGGAATTCAGTACATTTTCTGCATAAACTGATTCCCTCATAAATCCACAGTGAAAGTCTGTGAGCAGATCCATTAAGAGACATACAAATGTCTCTTACCTGATTGGTGAAGGAAAAACGGACTTAAACCACAATATCTTCTCTAGAGAACTCCCCTCCTTCAGGATAGCCCACAATAAATAATGTACTCTGCATTAGTCACATTCCTGTTCCCTCTTTATATACAGAACTGAAAAAGCTGCACACAAACTTCAGCTGGACATTACAGGGGAGCAGCATGTGAGGATCCATCCCACATACAATGAGATGTTTAAGTAAAATTGCGGGTGGTCGTGGAAACACGAAGATTTTTTACTGTGAGGGTGACCAAGCACTGGCACAGGTTGCCCAAAGAGGTGGTAGAGTCTCCATCCTCAGGGACAGTCTCCATCTTGGAGACATCCTTGGAGCCACACGGACATGGTTCTGGGCAACTGGCTCTAGGCAGTCCTGCTTGGGCAGGGAGGTTAGATCAGATGGACTCCAGAGGTCCCTGCTGGCCTGAGCCTTTCTGTGATTCCGTAAAGGTTGATCTTTCTCTTCTGTGCAACTCCAGGGCCTGCCTATTGATAGAGAAAGGCTTCTTTAAATTAAAAAAGCCTTTGGAGCCTTCAGTCAAGTAGTAATTGGAGGAACACTCACTGGCAAGTCTGGAAGCAGTAACGCTGACTGGCATTTCTAATCCTGATTCAATTCACCTCTCTTCACAGAATATGAGTTATTGATTCCCCTTCAGGACTGAAATTGCTGAACACCTTCAGTGTCATCGGTGTTTGTTTTTTCAATGACCAAGTAATCCACTGTGTAAAGCCTGGATAATGGACCTGTACCTTTGGGGTTGTGTGAATTAGCAGTGCAGCCGGGGGGGGGCGGAAATCTTCAAATAGGCAATCTCTCAGACTACACCTGTGGCCATTATTTGAGAAACTTGTGCACTGCACGTTACAGTGCTACTGTTCACAGAACGTGTGTGCTCTTTCCTGTGAAGGAGCAAGATTCAGGATGGGAGCGGTTCCAGGCGTGGAGAAAGACATACAGCAATTGACAGGACTTTATTATATGGACTTTACCACTTCAGATACGTGTATCGCATTGTACCCACACTACACAGTGCACAGCCAGGGCGTGCCCACACTTGCCACGAGTTTGCCTGCTCCCTGCTTCCCCGTTCCCCTCTCTGATAGGCTGAAGAAGCTGCAGAGAGGAGTTACCATTCGTCCTTTCCTTCCCCGGTTCCTCCCATGTTCCTCCCTCCCCCTTTGCCTGCGTCCCTACCCCGATTTGTTCCCCCGTTTGTCTGTCTCATGCTCCACTCCATATTCTAGCCCTTTCCCCGCCTGAATGCATAAAACCCCGGGCACACCTCAATAAAGTATTCCACTTGTACCTCTGCCTTGTGTCTGGACCTATGCGTGCTGTGTCACGGCCCCATCCCCCCTCAGACCGTGGCACTTTCCCATCCCCCTTACCCAGCTCTCATGCCTACGCTGGGAAAATAAGGCTCCCATCTGAAGTGAACTCACTGGATTACACTACAATGCAGGCACAGCAATGGATTCCAAAGCAGACATGAACATGCTTTTTCTGAACTGGCAAAACTTGGACATTCCAGAAACACTAACCACAGCATCTCAGCCTCTGGCATAGGTCATGTTCCCAGGATTTTAGGGGTAACCTGCGCCGCATCCTAAGCTTCCCCAATCAATGTGCTTGAAGGTAAACCTGATGTAGTCTGAAACAAGTTTCTGAGGCATTTCAAGTTTGCCCTATGCCAAGTACAAGCTAAACACACTCTTTCAATTGCAATGAGCATACTCGGCATACTGAACATCAATTTGAGTCAACTAACAGCTAAGCAACACATTTTTATATACAATTCCCTGGGCTATGGAAGAAGTAGAAACAGAATTTTACCCTTTTACAAGAAAAAGATCAGTTCTCCAGTAAACCTCTATCTATGGCTTCTACTTAAACCATGAATTACATTTCTGTATTAAATTTGTTTTGAAATCTAAGCCAAACAAGAATCAAATTACAACTTCAAGCCAAGCACTCAACAGAGTTGAGTTATTACTGGGCTGTAATTCTGAATTTTACTGACTCATCCCAACTGATTTTCTCCACACCTGCACAGATCCACCTCTCTCTAGAATATCTTCATGAAGAACAAAGACAGAGGTACAGCCATAGAGAGCGGGTTGACAGATAAAAAGAAAGTATTTTAAAACACTTCAGAAAAGGACGCCACCCCAATCATTGTGATATCCTGTACCTCAGCCTTGTGAAGCCTCATTTACCTGAAAATTTACAGTATTAATGGAGTACCATTACATTTCTAGAAAGGCATGCTTGTCCACCAGTCCAGCAGACTAACATTCAGTACATTCACCTTACAAACACATCCAAATAATAACTAGTTATGTCAAGTATAAGCTGGCATACAGAAACATTTTTAAATTACAAGTAAGTCAATTTACCTTGCTTCGGGAGTTAGATTTACTGCTTCAAGAGTTAGATTTACTTCTTCATGAGCAAGAGAGCACACTGCACAATCAAAATACTGTAGCTGGCTGACCATCAAACACTTTGGACATGATCACACCACTGCTAGATATCTTCATTCCACCAGTATTTATTGAAAAATATTTACATATTGGTGTTGTGACCCACCCCGGAAAGGAGGGGTGGGTTACCCAGGTTCTTATTAATAAATCCCTTGAGGTGGATTAGAGTGAAAATGACACTGAATAATTGGTGTTTGAAAACATATATATGTAGGGTTTATTTTAGAATAATTTGTTTCAAAGGTAAACAGGTATGGTGCCATTTTGGGTGTTACCATCTATATCTATCATCTATAGCAATACAGCAATCATTAGGATAACACTTAAGGAAATGCATAAGGGAGAGAAAGGGAGAGAAGGGGAAAGAAAGGATAAAGGTGGAAAGATATATATAGTCAATGCACACAGTGTCCAGCGATGAAACTTGGTAGTTGCAGCTTCCACGTCTATTAGTTGAAGTGGTGGTCTTGATCCATTGGGGTGGGGGAGGAAGGCCCACACACTCAAAGAAGTTATGAGTTATTATATACTTCCAGAACACCTTGTACCTCCCAAAGGCGGGGAGTTTTACCACAGAATAGTGTCATGGGCCGTGCCACGAGCCTCCAACGAGCCTCCAACGAGCCTCCAACGAGCCTCCAACGAGCCTCCAACGAGCCTCCAACGTCTCCTGGGCATGCGCAGAGCTCCTGTGAGGGGCATGGTAAAAGGGTTTTTCCCGCCTTTCAGGACTGGTGCAGGGATGGGCTTTGACGGGCGTGCCACAAGCCTCCAACATCTCTGACAGCCCAGGCCAGACATGCAGAGTTCATGAGAAGGGCATGGCAAATATGGCACTTCCTGCCTTTTCAGGACTCGACCCCTCAGCAGCACTGGTCAGGGGATGGGCCCTGCTGGGTGAGCAGCCGCCTCTTCCCAGCCTGCAAAAGTCCCCTGGAGATTCTAGAATGCGCAAATCATTAACCTTTTCAGTCTCTGCCAATTGGTCACAATGTTTTAATAGCATTTTTACATAGGTTAATGAAGAACATCACACTAGGATGGGGCAAGAGTGGTATAATATCTTTTCAAATGTCTTTTTTTTCCCCAAGCTGTCACAAGCGAAGAGAGTTCTCAGACTGAGTGTGCTGGAGTCCCACAGTGTGTGCGCCACAGATCAACAGCTTTGCTGACAATGGCATCAGTGTTGTCTTGAGGAATCTACAAAAGATCAGGGCAAGATGCCTTGTCAGAGTACTTCATTTGGACTGTTTCGTTTAAAATAAAGATTTTGAATTTCCAGTTCATATTTTCTCTCTTTAGAAAAAAGAAAACAAAACTAGAATCCCACCTTCCTGCCCCACCATCCCACCACCCCTCAGTCCTACACACACCATATTACCTCCAGGTTTTGGACAAAAAGCTTTTATTTACAAAATGGTAAGGTTACCACCCAGACATCTCACACTTCACACATCCCCGAGTTGACAGCAGGCAGAACTCGCACTGGCTATCCATGACCACAAACATATCTCATCAAACTAACCTGGGTTACACTGGAACCCTACAGCCCTGCTGTGATGCTCATTACTATTCAAGGTCAGGAAAGTTCAGGGTCAGGTTCATGACCCTGTCCTCACATCAACAGAAAACACACCTTGAGTCTGTAGACTGCGCACTCAGCCAAGAAGCAAAGAAAAAAAAGCAGCCAGAAACCAACCCCTCTAAGGAGCTTCCAGAAAAATTAACCTAACCTCTCCTGCACTTACTTTCACAGAAAAACCCTTTAGTATCACAAGGAATATTGTCAGTTCTGTACAAATGTAGATAATACATTCCCCAAGCCTAAAAATAACTTCAGTCTATGAAAGCCTTACCTCCTCATAGAAAAAATCATTATTCTCATTCCTGTGCATTTTTCCTTCACTTTTGTACTACTCCACTATTCTCAGGAAGGAGTGTAATAATATCTCATGGTACATCTGTAATAATATCAATGGTACATCTGCAACAGGCAAATGACTAAGGCTGAAACACACTTTTATAAAAGCACAATAGAGTACTTACATTTTCCAAAAACTGTGTGATCTTTTCTGCAGTATTTAGCGCTATTATCTTCATTTTAAAGGTTAATAATATCTCCAAAGCAACAAAAACGAGAATCTTGCAGGACCCACTAATAACTTTGTCCCAAACCCTACAAGAAAATGAAAACAAATCACTAAACATTATTGCAGTGCTTATCTGCTTATCTATCTGCTGGAACAGCCTTCTACAATCACCTCTTCCCAGATTATTTTTCTGAGTAACAGCAATGTATTGAATTATTTGGGTTAGGGCAAATAAAAGACATTTTATCAGCTCCTAAATCTGTTCAGAGCAGAGGGATGGCAAGCAGTAATTGGTATGTACTGATATGGTGTGTTGCTGTTTAGAAACTGAACTGTTTACAAGCTCAAGTACAAAAAGCAAATCTTGTTTTAATAGCCTGAACTGTAACAACTACTCTACCGTGTAGGGTAAAGGTTAGAATTTTTCCTAGTGCAAAAAAGAAGAAATTAACTTCATTAGCATGCCTAATATACTCTTTCAAACAGTTAAGTAGCTGAAAATTCAAAAAGGGATGTAATACTGAACTACTACATCTTAAGCAGCTAAATATTCCAGGTCATTGCTGTATATGATACAAATATGACCTATCTACAGGATGTAATCCACTATGTTTAAATCAGGCACAAGAACAACTATTAAGTCTTCCAATCCATCCCACTGTGCAGACCCTCTCAGAATTACCTAAGCACTTCTACCACTTGTATGAAGCTGTATCTGGACCTCAGTTTTAGGAAAACCTGAAGGGCAGGGCTCCAAAGGCTGCATGTACTTCAGTAACAGAACCTGGATGAATACTAAAATGGATCCTTACTACCAAAACTACCAACAATTTGAAATCATCCTTCATCCAGCAGCTCTCTCTCAGGCCCAGTTCAACACACTCGCGACAAAAGATTATCCAAAACCAGTGTGAAACCATCTGTCAGATGGCAGCTTTTATGGGCTTGCATTATTTTTAGTTCTTGAATTTTAAGAGCTGTGTCAGAAAGACTTTTTGAGGATTACAGATCTTGTTCCTTCTGGGCACTTGTTCAAAGTACTTCTCCTTCCAAATAAAATCATGGGGGACAAAGATCACATACCATCTTCCATAATTTCTGAATACAGTCACACTAATTGAAAATCATCTTCTGCAGCCCACCTATAAATCTGGATCTGTGGATGTGCTTCTTCCAAAGGCAACTCGATTTTTGTATGACCTCTCCTAGACAAATTTGCCCTTCAGCCCAGAGTGCCAGCAGACTACAATGCAGGCACAATATGAACTTTGACAGCTGAATTGAAGTGTAGGTATCCCACTTTTAAACAGTGAGAGCCAAGCCAAGAGCCATTAAGATGATGAAGGGACTGCAGCACCTCTCCTGTGAGGAAAGGCTGAGAGAGTTGGGACTGCTCAGCCTGAAAAAGAGAAGGATCTGGGGAATCTCATCAATGTACATAATTACCTGAAGAGAGAGTGCAAAAAGGATGGAGCCAGGCTCTTTCCAGTCGTGCCCGGTGAAGGGATCTGAGGGAACAGGCACAAACTGAAACACAGGAGGTTCCCTCTGAACATCAGGAAACACTTTTTCAACTGTGAGGGTGACCGAGCACTGGCACAGGTTGCCCAGATAGGAGAAGTTGTCTCTCTCCTTGGAGACATTCAAAAGCCGTCTGGACATGATACTGGGCAATTGGCTCTAGGCAGGCCTGCCTGAGCAGAGGGACTGGTTGGACCAGTGCCTGGTCCCTTGGTCCCTGCCAACCTCAAACTTTCTGTGGCTTTCTGGTGAAAAGCTTTATAACTTGCTGGAAGGCTTGCTGCTGCTACACAGTGCTTATTTTTCACACTGTGACTCAAGTCAACTCTATCAGTTTCTTAACCTCCTATTCGCATAAATTTTTGACACTATTTTCACCACCTCTCCATTCATCAAAAAATTTAGACTAGATTTTAACTTACAATGAAGAAAGGAGGAAAAGAATATGTTAAATCCTCAGGACTACTCTTAAAAAAGAAGGAAACAAAAACCCCCACATGGACTGATGGGGGGAAAAAAGGCACAGCCTTCCCCTTTGCAATTTAGTTTTAATTCCCTGTCTTGTTATGACAAAAAACTGAGCATAATTCCCATATGGAGAGGAATAACACATAATCCAAGATCAAAATCTTACTGCTTCCTTTGCGGTTTGAGAATCCCAGGACAAATTATCACTGTAAATATTACACTGATGTTGAAGTCAGGTCTAGGAGCTTTGAGCAAGGCTATGAGAAAACTGAGACGACAGCCCTGTTCCATACTGTACAAGTCATCCCTGTTTATTTCTAAAGCATTTTCCTTACCAAACACATCTGTTTAGAACCCAAGAACAGCTTCCCCGTGTGTTTCATGCGCATCAGAATTATGTAATTATGAATGACAATTACAAAGAGCAGCAAACCTCAAAAACAGGAAATAATTTTTAAAGTTAATATTAAAGCACATGTTAATTCAAAAACAAACTTACTAATCCTAGTATAAAACACCTAGTCTCATTATTTTGCTTCCGACTCTCCTGACTTTAGTCTCCATAACTGCATTAGGTTACATGCTATGCTTGGAAAACACTCTATTGTTTTCCTGCATTATTTAGTCTGATTCCAGAACAAATCTTTTAACAATGGCAAAACGGATGCAGTACCTAAATCACCAGTGTCTTCACAAATTTTGGAAGATGGTGCATAGAGAAGTGGGTGAGATGTCAGCACTAACCAGCTGTTCTGCTGCAATATTTTCTCCTTTAACATTTCCAGCTATTGTTACTCTCAATGCAATGCCACCAGCAACACTGTGTCAAGAGTCAGCACCTTCTCTGTACCAGCAGAGCCAAGAAGAACAACATAAACTGTGTCAAAAATGGAAAAAAACCACAGCAGATTAATAGTAGAACAGAAACATCATGCCTCTGTGCCTATAGCCCTACTCAGAAATGCTGAAAAAGAAGGTATATGCTAAATTCCCTACATTTGTGTGGCTGTCTTCCTCTATGAAATATAACCATTCGACTAACTACAGGAGCATTCTTGTAGGTATTTGTCTAATAGTGAAACAGTAGTGACAACCACAAGGAAAAATAAGAAAAAACAGGAAGCACTTAAAGCAAAGAGCATGCCCAGGATTATGCAAATAAAACCATTTACTTTTCACTGAGCTTTTTCCATAGACAAGATACCACTTACTCTGTGTGCACCTATGTGTGAACGGATGACATTCTCCAGGCAGCTTCTGAGGTTGCTACACTGCTACAGTGCAGTAGGACACAAGAAGCATCACAGCATTCCTGCTCTCTCTTTTTCTGAAATATTACCATCAATCTCACAGTTTTCCCCCTAGGCTGCACAGTAAACACACTTAGCCTTTTTCCCTGGTTCTGGTCCTCCAGTTGTTCAGGCCAGAAATATCTAAAAAGAGCCAATGCTTTCTCCTCTGCCTGTACTTCTGGGTGTCCTTCTAATGGTAACTGGGCATGGAAGGACGTGATGAGGCTCACACAAATCTCATCCTGATGTCACATCATGATCTTGTGCCCACCCATCTACAGAGCTGAGAAGCAGCTCAGTTACTTAGGCAAAGGCAAATCAAATTAAGTTTTTCCACAGTAGTAGCCCACATGCACATTTTTATGCCCTCCCACTCCATAGTAAATTTAAGGCATTTTTCATCATATTTCTGTTCTTCCTACTAACTAATTACTTACATTTTTACAACTAGATGTAAATTATGCAGGACATGGAGATCACAGATGTAAAACTACAGAAGCCATATATTAATACATGAGGCAGTGTCAGCTGGAAAGTCATAAATTTCTGGAGAATGACCAAATACTTTGCCACTACCAAGTTGCCAGAGACTAATAACCTAACACCACCCTGCTAATGCCAAGCCTTCAGTGCAGAATACAAACAACATTACTCAGGGGCATGTTACATGATTGGCACCATTAGGCCATAAAAAAATGCCTGGCTCATTCACAATTACAACTGCAAAGCTGCACTACTTCTGTTGTGGCTGGATCATCTGGGATGATAGTGTTGGATTAAACTGGCAGCCAACATGCCATTTTGCCTGTAGAACTGAAGCCACGAATGGAACACCAAGCTCTAAGAGCAGGGATTTCTAGCTGAGGGCCAATACAGCACCATTGGAAAGCTTTCCAGGCATGGCTTCCCAAACAGATGACCAGATATGCTGCTGCAGAAATCAAGCAAACAGGGTAATGATGAGTATGAAAACAACGGCGTGATCCAGTTCTCTCCCTGTTTCAGAGACAAGTACACCTTTCTGTCCCTCTTAAACCTGTGCTATGGGCTGGTTCATATTCCAGAAAGCACCCTGTCTGTATTCCAGGTGGGACAGAGATTCTTTGAAATGGCCAGTTTGCTCCTCTCTTTTATCAATATGGCACCTTTAAGAAGTTTTAAGAAGCTTGTTGAATAATATGTCAAGTGTATTAGGGCACACAAAGACACTGCATAAGTTCAAAGGAAATGTTTCTACCTGAAATCTGTCTATATACATTTTCCAAGCCCATTTCAATTAAACTGATGCATTAATTTTACCTATGGTGTGACTGGAAGTGTGCTATAAAAGAGTATTTATATTGAATGGCAATGCCCGCCAGAAGTTTAAGTTGATATTGTGCAAAGTCATCCCACCACTATCAGAAAAAACTTCTGCACAGTATATACAAGCCTTGTACAACTCAGAGAAAAAAAAAAGAAAGAAAACCATGAAATCTAGATTTAGCTGCCTGGCAGAGAAGACTACAATTTATAGAAAGCAATCAACCTCTCCAAGAAATACAGTGCTAAATCATAAGATAAATTAAATCATAAAAGACTGTGTTCACATCATCTCTCACTTGACAAAAAAGTAAGTAAAATTCACAGGAGAACTGGAGTCCTGTTTTCAAATCTCAGCAGTTCCAACACTGCCACTTGGATACATTTCAGATAAGCATTCAGGCTTCTAGATTCTAATCCAAAGCGAATCTCCAAGCATTAATTAAGTTCATTTGTCACATGCTACCCATGAAGTATGTTATTTCCTTAGTGAATAAGGCCATTATGATTACAACTGAATAATTCAGAAACCTAAAAAAGAAAAAGTGCACTTGTATCATGTTCCCACAAGAACTGTTGGCAAAAGGGATTGCTCTGCCATTAGAAGTATCAACATGAAAATTTGTTTTTACTCCATAGTGATACTGAAAGCCAATATTTTGACCTTTTCCATGGGAGGAGGTGGGGGAAGTATTAAAAAAATTCCAGGTAATCAAAATATTCTATTTCAGTAAGGTCAAACAGCATATATGAATGCTAAACATGCACACTGACTAGACAAAATACTTTACATAAATAAACTGATTCAAAATGGTAGAAGTTTGAAACTAAAGGTCCTGACAAGATGAAATATGAAATCGAAATTCTTCATCTAGATTTTTTCTTTTACACTATCAAGATTACACAGCTCCATAAAATGTTCTATTTTCAACAGAAATTTTAAAAAACTCTTCTTCTTCCAAGAGCAAAACTGCTCTGATGCAAATTCCTCTTTCAGCAACAGTTCTCGGCCATAAGACTAAGTAGCAAAATTGAATCAGATAAGCTCTAAATAAAAATATTTCCCAGGAGACATGCGAAGAGGTTTCCAATGCAGTAGATTGCCAAGGCCATTTCAGATCACAAAAGCCTATGGAAAAGAAGGTCTGAAGAGACTGACAAGTCCTAGCTAGGGCAGTCACTTCTGACTGATGTTAGTTTACATTTTAAGGCATTAAGTTGCACAAAGAGAAAGCACAGTGAAACAAGAGCAATCATTACCTGCTGAAAATAACCTAAAAACGCAAATGTGAAAGAGATGTAGGTAAACCATAGGGGATCAATTGCTTCTAAGGCTGTAACAAACACACTATGTACTTAAATAATTTCTGTAGCCATAATAGGAGTAAAAGCTTTCCACCATCACATCACACACAACCAGTACACAGAGATGACTATTTTGGGGACTTACAGGTGCTTGATGAGAAGAACCTGGCATGTAACAATTACAGTGCTGCACCTAAAGGTTCAAAATGTTTTTTTCTCTCAAACATATTCCTTGCCAACAGTAAAACATCCAGAACCTCAAGGGCCATGGTTCACCAAGACCAAAGAGCATGATTTCTAATCTTACAGCTTGTTCTCTGAAACTTTGTTTTTATAAGGGCCAATAAAATTTTTAAAAGCAGCCATTTCTCACTTTTCTTCATGAAACATGAAGTTCCAGATAAACAAACAACATTGCATTCACTATTTAGATTATGACCAACTTTATCACCATAAAAGCATTTTATACAGAGCAATTTACAAAGCATTTCGTTTCCACACTAGGTTCCTATACTAACTGAAGCCCTGGAATTGATTTCCTTGAAATAAAAATTCCCTTGAACCTTATTACTCCTCAAAGTTTTCAGGCTGCTGAAGATGAAACCATTGGTTTTTTTGTGCCACATCCTGTTCAGCTATTAGCAACTCTTATTAATGCAGAAAGAATGTGTTTCTCTACATCCAGCTTGAATTTCCTGCTTTCCAAGAGTTCTCAGGCAGCAGAATTAGAGAAATAATACAAGTTTCGTTTCAAAAGCCCTTCAGTGAAATGCTATGCACAAGAATTTTGCCCTATTAAAAGCTCAACAACCTATTTCTAGCTGTAGAATCCTGATGCAATCCACTATTTCATTAACTTTGTAATACTCAACCTGCCCTAGGACTTTTTAAAACAAACGTTGTCATGGTTTAACCCCAGCCAGCAGCTGAGCATCACACAGCCAACTCAGTCACTACTCCTGCCATTGGGATGGGAGAAGAATTGGAAGGGTAGAAGTAAGAAACAAACTTCTGGGTTGAGAAAAAAAGAGTTTCATAATTTAAAAGAAATAATAATTTCAAAAAACTGTAAGGAAGAGAAGAAAAAAATAACAAAGAGAGGAAAATAAAACTTGAGACGAGTGATGCAAATGGAAACAGCTGCCCACCACCAACCGATCAACAGGCAGCAAGTCCCGAAGGGAGCACTCTCCTCCGCCAGTTTTCACCCCAGCTTTATTGCTGAGCATGACTCCATACGGAATGGGATATCCCTGAGGTCAGCTGGGGTCAGCTGTCCTGGCTGTGTCCCCCTCCCAGCTCCTTAAGCAGCCCCAGCCTCCTTGCTGGTGAGCAGAATGATGCTGTGTTAGTGCCACTCAGAAATAACTAAAACATCCCTGTGTTATCAACACTGTTTTCAGCACAAATGCAAAACATAGCCCTGTATGAGCTACTCTGAAGAAATTTAACTCTATCCCAGCCAAAATTACTACACATTCCCAAAATCTTTTTCATCTAATGATGATGATGTTACAGTCACTCCCTACGAAATTATTTCGGTTAAAAAGCCTGAAAACGACTACCATTCAGCCATCTATCACTGACAGGACTTTGAGTTTTAAATCCCAGGAGTGTCTAACAGAATCAGCTGGTATACTTAACTCCATTCTTTTTTAATTTCAATGGGTGAAATGATCACACAGATTGATTATCCTGCATCAGTAAAGTCAGCAATAAAGTTAACACCATAATCTTACAGATAAAGTACAGAAAGCTCTTTGCGTGCTACTGACAACAAAAAGCTAAAAGTACTATGAAGTTACAAATTGAAAAAAGAGAACTTGCCTCTGTAAACTGGACTCAGGTAAACATCCTGCAAAACACTTTTTAAACCAAAGATCATAAGGGAGCTTGCTCATTGCAGCACATGCTTTCAGATGCATCAGGAGTCTGTTATCTTCAATGTTCAAATACTGCTCCAGAACTTTTGGCTGAGAAAGAATTGGAAAATTTTAGGTCACTCACATCAGAAAACCTTCATAGTTAATGCACACTGTAAGACATGGAATGTCTCAGAAATTCAATTGGTGTAAAACAACATGTTAAAATAATGAACTCGCACTGTTTTAACTGTTCCAAAATATGAGTGTTGCTGACTTTTGCAATTAACTAATTAAGTACTTAACTAAATAAACAAACTCAGCTTCCTTAAATTGCTGACCACTAGCAGAACTTCCAATATATGCAGTATTCCCTAATGCAAGGAGGTGTTTCAGAGCTTAAGACAATGCAGAGATTAAACATCCACTAATTACTGTTACCTCCACAAGTAAAATTGAGTTTCATTCACCTCAAACCTAATTGCCTTAGCACACATCAAAAAAAATCTACACACAATACAGCAAAACCCAGAAAATCAATTCTGAGAGTAAATCTCTGTGCAACCCATTAAAAGCTGGACATTGATTTATTGCTTAAAAACCCAAAGTATTTAGAAGGATAAACATGTGGATAATTTTCTCATCTTGTTTAAATTTTAATGTAACACAATACACATTTTCATAAATTCAGGAGTACCTTTTTGCTTTTTGTCATAATTAAGTAAACAGCTAATGACTTCAGCTGTCAAAGGGAGAAAACACGTCCTTTTTCCATATTCTCACCTGCAGAGTCTTGGTACTTGGTAATTGCTTATATTACAAAAAAAAAATTAGGGAGGGAGACACTTGGCACTCTTTATGTAGTGAGAGTACACACTTTCTTTAAAATACTCCTTTTTCCTTTGAAAGGAATTAAAGAAATCTGTATAGTTTAACGTATCACCCCCAGAAAGAGGAGGTAGGTTTAAAAATTATTTCTTGTTCCAAAAGACTAACAAACAAAGGGCAGGCATCATTTTCTGCAAAACAAATTTTCATTCGGTGCTTGCCAGTGCACCGGTGCCACCTCAGCGGATACTGTTAACTAAAGAGCTTTTATCTGTTAAGGCTATTTGAAGAATTACAAAAACTTTTGTGATTTTGATAAGTACGCATTTTCTTTACAATCAAATTTTAATTTTATAAATCAGTAAGACAGAAGTTCAAAATTAACATTCTATGACAGCGCTTAAAGGATCAGTGCTAAAACAAAACTATTCCACTTTTTATTATAACTTAATTTTCAACATACTGTTTTTCTGAAGATGTAGTACTCTGGTTCATTTAAAAAGCAAAGACAATTGTGCTTTGTCTATCATACAATGAGCCACACATGGATGCTAGAGATGCAGCCTTAAAAGTAGCAGACATACATCAAGATGTTCTTAACTCTGTAATTTAAATTTAATTGTTTAAAATAAAAAAAATTCTTAAGTGACCGATTTGTGAGAAATATAATTCACCTAGATACAAGCAACCTTTAGACAACCTAAAAAGGAAATATAATTCAACTAGATACAATGCAACCTTCATGCAAGCTAAAAAGAAAATAAGATGTAACTGAAAATCACCATGCAGCAAACAAAACCAATTGTGCAGGACAGCACAATCAAAACCCAAAAGGCACTCCTCCCATTTTCTCAAAACAGCTGGTGGAACAGAACCCAAGGGTGTCACCTCTGACGCTCCAGTTGTCTCCATGTATTAATGCTTTCCACAACTGCCTCTCCCCACAAAAGGAAAAAAAAAAGTGTTTTTTCCTTACCAGTTGTTGCAAGGAATCTTTGTGCTTGCTGTTCAGCTGATTCACAAAGCAACTGACAAGCCAATAGCATTCTACAGGATCCTCCACCATTTCCTCCATTGCTTTAGCAATAACAAGAAACACTTCATCTTCAGGTTCCTGGAAAACAAAGCCAAAAAAAAGTGAACTACACAGAAGTATTGGACTATTCTGATTTAAATTATTCTTATATTCCTTTTCTCTGCTATTTGGGAGAATAAATGGAAATCGACGTACACAAAGAGCTGTTCTAACATTCATAAATAAGACATCGGGCAGCAGCTGCACTATGATGACAAATACTAAAGCAGAGCAAATAAGACTTGTTTTAATTTTAAAACCAAAACACACAATAGGAGCTTGGGAAAAACTGTTTCAAAGTTTCATATTTTCTCAGATGAGAAAATACTACATTCTAACAAGGTAGTGATAATCCCACTTATGTGGACCACATATTTATACTGCACAGCAGCAGAATTTTTCATGCTGTTGATTGCTAAGAGCCAAACGGGCCCCTCAAACACTTCTGTCGTGGATGCTACAGATACCGAAAACAATGCGGCCGTGAGCTGTGCACCTACCTCCAACACACAGAAAATCATTTGGTTTGAGATAAGCTTCCTAGAGACAAATACCTTTTCCAGGTTATGAGTATCTTACTCCCTGCAATCCACGACTAGAAGCATGTGATGGACACACCATCACCTTTTCTCATGAGGAGATACCTTCCCAACAGAATTATCAGCCTAAACCACAGGTAATGGTATGACTGCACACAGGGTAGATGTAGGCGAACTAACGCTAAAACTAGCTAGATCTCATGCCAACAGCTGACTCAAGAACTGTCTAAACTGGGAAGATGCACAAGGAACGGCTCTCTATTTGCCTCATTTCTCAGAGTCTTCCTTACACAGGCAGTACTGACTACATTAGGAGGCAGGGTAAGAAGCCAGGTACGTGTCCACAGTCTGATGTACTGTAACCCTCAGCAGCAGTAAGCTATAGGATCACAGGGTTTGATGCATGGTGAGTCTTAAATACTACTGATATGTCTCTGCCACACAGACTGCTGCAATGCACACATACCCCTACTTAAACTGTCTGCTTTCAGATTGCACAAAACATTTACCAGACTTCTCTCTGGTACTCAAACATTTCAAAATATTTATATCAATCCAACATCATCTTTATATTCCCCCTGCCTCCACAGTAAAACTGAGCTACTATCAAGCAGTAACCGCTTATTTAAGGGGACATTACTGCACAGAAAGCAGACTGGCATAAAGAGAACAAATGCTTTCTGCAGCAAAACAAATCCAAGTTACAGGACTAATAACTAGTGCTTTGCTGAACACCATCTCTATGAAACCCCATCACAGTACTGAGAGCAGCCAGTGCTCTCGAATGCACTGACAAAACATGTGCTCAGAAGGCAATACTGCTCTAGAAGGGAGGAATTTTTCGCCCACTGGGTCACAGGCCAAGATCAAGGAAACTTCTCTACAGGAAACTTGCAGGGTAGGACAGCCACATTCCTAGACAATGGTAAGGGCACGAAAATGTTCTCCCTCCTTTAACAAGAGAATGCTGTATGTAATCCTCCAGATCAAAATATTACTGAACTTTCTATATTAACTTTAAGCTCTCTTTTTTTTATTTTTTTTTAGTTTTTATGTCAAATTTTGTGATGGATAAATTAATATTAAATAAGGGACAAAATCCACTGCAGAAAGCCCTGTGGTTCCTTTCATCACATCCTCTTTGACAGAGGTTTATACATAAGATCCACACATTGTTTTTCTCATCTCTCTACTGGCTTACCATCACATCAAGATCCGTTTGTGAGTACACTGTAAACTGCAGAGTACATGCATGACCTGACAGAAGCCCTGATTAGTTCAGACTAACGTAAAAAGGAGGTCAGTACATTAAAATCTAGATTTAAAAACAAATAATTTAAATATATGATGCAATTTGCATTAAGTCATGGTTTGTACGGGCTCTGAATTATCCTTGTTCCAGGACATGTAAGAATCTATGAGCTCCAATAGGATTATGTCATTTTCATTTCAGTGCTATAAAGAAACTGAAGTGCATTAGAGTACAAAATGCTTGAAAAGCTAGCAGGCAAAATACACAAAAGGGATTCTAAGGCATAAAATCTTACATAAGTACTTAGGGGAAGAAAAAGAGAAAAGCACTTTGACTAAAATTTCTTATTTTGTACTAGTACTCCTCTGTTTTCCATTCACCTTACTTGTCTATCTACATGCATTTGTGAGGTGACTTGCAGTTCACTGACCAATGCAAAAGCCAAGTTTCGAGGCAATTTTCCTGATTCCAGTTGATGGATGCGCAGGAAAACATCCACCTGTGGGGTAGAATCATTAATAAAGCGAATTACACGAAGAGCATGGTGTATATCCCAGTACTGCTCCTTTCGGCACTTCATCACCAAAGCATGAGATTCATGGTGAGGAGGAATAATTCCTGACAAAAATTTTAAAAAAAAAATAATTAAAATAAAAAAATACAAGCAATTGTAAAGAGAAATCTTACTTGTTACTTGTTTATACTTATCTAGTTTTTAGTATAGTTATAGTTGTGCATTTGTGCCCACCTTCCACTTACTTTGAAAACAAAGTGGGTGCAGAATGATTTTTATCTACATTAGCTGTTCATTTTCTCAAATTCTACACTTTGTCTGAGATGACAGAGAACATACAGATTCCATTAACCAATGCAAAGATACTGTACAACTCGGTATTAATTACTTGACTCTCTGTATCATAGATTAAATCTCTCTAAAACAACATTCAGAAGCAAAATCAATCACACGGGTTGAATCAGTTATAGATTAAAACTTAAGAATACCACACAGGCACTTTGCAAGGTAACATTTTTTACATTCTTAGCACAACACGAATATTTGTTCTAGTTTTCTAGGAGAAAAAAAAAATTAAAAAGAAATAAAAGTAGTAAGGTAGACAAAATTAAACTGCATCTCCAGAAGAGATGCTCAACATTTCACTAGTGGAGCAGAATATTTCTCAGTGCAGAAACCCATGAGAACAAAGTATTCTTCAAAAATCAGTTTGAAACAAGCTACCTGCTGCTTTTATCTCTCACTTTAAAAAAAAAATATTCCTGTCAAGTGTTAAACCATGAAATGACTGAGTTTAGTAACAAGCACATCAGACAGAAAATTATCTTTTCATTTCCAACTGCAAACCTGTCTGCATTTCAAAAGCTGGGACAGAGCAAGACATTTTTCATGTTATGCCAAAAGAGAGTCAACATCATGACTTTGTATATACATATTGCCAACTGCTCTCCTCAAATACAGAAGATAACCTTAGGCAGAAAGAAAAGCTTAAAAAAAGCTTAAACAACACAGGGATGTCCAGAAACCATAATGAGTCACACTTGAACAGGAAATTAATGGAGACACTGCTGACGTACCATGCAACCTGGGACAGCATCAAGTCTTGGTACATGTCTGAGATAAGGAAGCCTATCCTGTCAGCAAAATTTTCTTAAACTATTAACACTGTTTAGAGGACATGTAACACTTCCCATCAGAAATGGACTAGGTTGTCGTTCCAATTACTTAAGGAGAGATATTTTGCATTCCTTTTCAGTACCAGCTTTTCTAACAAGTGTTAACACTGAGATACAGCACAAGAGAAGTCCTTGTTCACCTCTGTTCACCCAAGAAGTATACAGAATGACAGTATGGATGCTTGAAATCAGAATATCTCAAGTTGGAAGGGACCCACAAGCATCGAGTCCAACTCCTGACCCTGCAGAGTACCACTCCAAAAAATTACACATCTGAGAGCACTGTTCAAACGCTTCTTGAACTCTGGGCAGGCTTGGTGCCACGACCACTTCCCTGAGGAGCCTGTTCCAGTGCCCAACCACCCTCTGGGTGAAGAACCTTTTCCAAATATCTAACTTAAACCTCCCCGACACAGCTTCATGTCGTGAAACGAATCACTCTGAGTTTAAAATACAAAATCTTTCTAAAAATCAATATAATTTTCCATGCAGTTAACTCAGAAGGTGTTTTGTGTTATCACATGATTCACGGATCATCTATCTATAACAGTCAAAGACTGACCACTAGCTCTGCAGTGAGCCACAATTTTGCAGACTATATTTTGCTATTATAATTTTGGCTGAAGGATCTTTTATTGAGTCACTTGTCTAAACCTTCGACACTATATCTCCTACAACTAATATTTTAAAGGATGCAGACTACTTCACTAGGGCCCAGGATGCAATCACCTTTTTTATGGCAAAGGCTTTTATCAAGTAGAATTACTCTGTCAGTTCAATGATCAATGCCAAGAACTTCCAAGTTTTATAATTAGATCTTGCACCTTCTGTGCTCTGTTCCTTTATTACCTTTGCCAGAAACAGGCTCACAAATCCAAATAATCAGGGATTGAAGCCACAACTTTTAAACTGTAGAAAATCAGAAGCGGGAAAAAACCCAAGAAAAAATTAAAAATCATTTTTAAAACTCACCTAAAACTTTCTAATACACTATTTCAAACTTCAGACACTGTAGTGTAATATGGAAACAAGGAAGATATTTACTTGAACATTGTTCAAGATTATGGTACGGCCTAAGATTAATAAACATCCTAAAACAGACAAAAACTGTTTTGGAAAATAACCATTCTGAGGTAGGAATCACCAGCCTTACTGACTCTGAATCACACATCAAGAATCTTCATATGAAATATATGTGGGATCTGTATCATGTACTCTGGAGAGCCAAATGACAAAGAATATGCGGGATAGTTCACAGGCAGTAAAAGACAGCAGCTTCCAAGCCAATCTGCAGACTGATGCTGCTGGTCTCCCTGATGAAACATTTTGGCTCTCAGCTCCTTTCCTGCCAGCACAGCTCTGCTAGTACAAGACTGAGCATGGGAGCCACACTCAAGCTTTACAAAGTGGCACAAGCCCCCCCCCCCCCCCCAACAGTATGGTAAATCACATTTCTCTTCCACAGATTCGGTCCGACGATGTACCTTCACACTCAGCCTGTCGGTGTTTCTCTACGTGCAGCAACTCTAAGGAAAACAAACTCTCCAGGTACCTTGTAAGGGTCAGAACTCCTGGGCCTTGCACAACCCCTCCTGTCTCCAAGTGACACAGGTAAACCAATACACTTGACCAGTTAGTGCAAAGCCATTAGTACTTTTGAACTAGTCATCGACTAATGCACTTCAACGAAAATATAACCTATTTATGGGGTTTTATGGTTTCTGGGGATACCATAACTTGTCTTTGGCCTCATAACTTCTTCAATGGCAAATACAATTCAAAACCAGAAGCAAAACCAGAAGCAACCAAGATTTTGTGGAACACAAAGATTTTCTTTAGAATAAACATGCATTCCATAACTTGCCCAGTTTAAAATTAATCACAGCCTTACTTCAACCTAACTGTATGTTATTTCAGAAACAGCACTGAATATCTTATCAGGTATTGGTGACTTGCTATAACCCACCTTTCAAATCCATTTTATAACTGTAACTGCATAGTGTTACAAAGTTAAATACAGAAACACACTTTTCTAGGTACACTTCAGCAAAGTTCTCAAAAACTACCCATGGAACATTGTTTTATAATTGCCATTGTGCATTCGAGGTGGATACAAAAGTAGGCTAAATATGCAGCAGTAGGCAAGGTAGTACAGAATAATCCATGTCATTACCTCTTTAAAAAAATACACCTTCCTACATTCTATGTTATATTTCATACCTAGAAGCACTTTCCACACCAGTATACGATACATGGATGGGAGTGGAAACCTTTGACTAAATGTGCAAAGCTTCTCAATATCTGTAGAAAAATAAAAAGAAAAAAAATTATGATAAATTTAAATATAAATAATTTTGTGTCTCTGATCTACCTAACTATGACAAATCTTCAGCTGCTCATTGAAATTCTCACTTTCATCACATATTATCCATAAGATCTTTCACCACTTCAATTGTGAATAGAATGTGCCCTATAAACTGCAACAATTTTGAAAAATATATACATTGGCTTGATCTACAGTAAAACTACTTTAAGTTTCATCAGGAAGAAACTGGATCATTTTTATAGGTATTTTGTAAATCGTGCCACTGTCAAAACAATTAAGGGCTTTTTTAAAGGGACGACATTTATCTTTCTGTTCTGTTAGAGATGTGGCACTCCTCAGGGACCAACAGCAATAACAAAATCTTCATTGTTTTGAAGTTATATGGAATAAACAGCGTGAAATGATGCGTTCTCCGATTAAAATTGCTTTCATTAAAAAGCTTTTAGTTTCTTCAGCACAAAGAATGAGAGAAGAAAAAAAAGGAAGCAAACTGACAAGTCTTTGATAGTTTTAAAAACAGATTTTCAGATCTTCAAAAGTCAAAGGTCTGCTAGCAATAACTGAGGGATTAGTGGTAAAACATGAAAAACTTAAATGAGTATTAAGCACAGCAGTTTAACATTTTCTATTACTCCCTCCCCAGCTCCTTATCACCAAAGTAACAGAGGAAAGAGTGAAATCCACTTGCCCAAACGGTCATCTTTTAACAGAATTTCCAGTGACTTCTTTTCTTCAACTCCACGAAACCCCACTTTTTCATAATACACTGAGCGAAAATTCCTCTGAGAGTCGTCAGCCATGACTGATTCCTTTTGGAGAAACAGTAATTCTCTTAAGACTTACAAGAATATTTTCCTTTTATGCTAAACTCAAGTACTTTTGCTCACCAGTAGAAGTTAACTGCCTATGTCTCTATAGTAGTATTACACCCTACAGAACATTAAATCTTCCAAGATTTTTTTCATCATATGCTAACAGAGAAAAATCATTAAAATAATTTAATCTAAACTAGGTCTAAAGAAATCAACTTTCCAAACGAAACACAGGAAGTTTTTGTTTTTTAAGTTACTCCCATAGCAAATTATGATACTTTTCAAAAAGTTTAAAAAAAAGTCTGCTGGTCTTTTACATCATACCGCGTATTTCAAAACCAATATAAAAAATACAGTTAAGAGCCTGACAAAATTTTGGGTACAGCAACCCTACTCAAGTACAACTGTTACCTAGGTAAGTAAAATAATTAGGTTTCATACTCACCAGATGAGGTAGTGAGAAGCAAGGACGAGCCAATTTTGGCCTCAGTGGCACAGGAAAGAATAAAGCTAGGGATGTAGGTTTCTTCTTACATTGCACATATGAATTAAATGTTCATGTTGTTACCTGAGGTGTCAGGTGTGCCCCTGGGCAGCTGCTGCAAACAATCCATTTATTAACAGTCCATCAGAAATGACATAGAGGGTGCAAAATGCACAGTTTTGGTTATACCCACATAGTGATAAACTGGTTCCAGCCCCTGTAACCAGGACAATGTAGTGGAATCCCTGTAGTGGAAACAATGGTAAATTCCAGTGAGTACTTTGTGTTTCATAACAACTGTAAATGATATTTCAATTCAGTTCAACTTTCTAAATATCAAATCTCTCTCCTCTGCAGGCTTGCAAATGTTAGAAAGCTCAGTTTCCTAACTCAAAGGACTAAAACCAATATTAACTTTTATGTGCTGTGACAGCAGCAAAACTTGAAGAAAAATAATTTATTTTGAGTGAGGGGCAATGGGTGAATGATGCACTGTGAAGCTTTTCTAGATAAATTCTTCTTTTCTTTGCAGAACCAAAGTACACATCAGGAGCAAAGCACCCGTGGATATAAAAAAAACCCATAATTTTGCAAAGAATATACATGTTTAAATTTGTATATCCACCAGGCCTATTTGTGTTTCAAACTGTAACTGTTTTTAGAGCTTTGCAGCATCAGGGCCAAGACCAGCCAGAAAAATATAAACCAGGAAACAACTGAATTAATGCTTTCTGAGACAGGTCAAATATTATTTCAAAACCAGAGGAAAAAAAATATTACTTGCAAGACATGCCAGTCCTGCACTAGCCTATGAAAATGACTCTGACGTTCATGTACTGTGCATTTAAGGGTCCGGTGATCACAGTGTTCACTGTTTACACTGCAGCCATGTCTAATGGTGACTTATGGAGCTACAGATACTCAATTACTTTTAAAAATGCTTAGATTTTCATTTACATTTTCAAGTTTTTAAAATCTGAATTTAACATGTGCTATTTAAAAAAATTTAAAAAAAAAAAAAAAAAGCACGTGTTTAGCCCGTACCACTTTGTGGAAAGCTGACGAGAGAATCACAGAACAGGAATAATAACTATAATTTGAAAAACAACAGCACTATCTATTAGAAAGGAATGCTATTTTAATAATTTTAAACTACCACTGTAACAGCAATACATTTTATTTACTCAGTGGAAAAAAGCAAGAATATAGTTTCCTCCTCACTCATAATTTAGCATATGCATTTTCCATGTCAGGCAAGCGACCAGTGTTCCAACCTTCACACGAATCTACAATATAATGGAAAAGGGAAGGGGGGGGGGGGAAACAAACCCCCAGCCAGCTCACTGGAAACGTTCTGTACAAAACCGTGCAATTAACTCGCCCTGTCTTCAACTAAAGCATTTTCGGCCCTAACAGCGGATTTCACGGTACCCCTGCGTTTCACGCCGGGCGATGCAGCAGCGGCGGCAGTGCCGCGCAGACCCCGGGTAAGGAGCCACACGCCATCCAGCGCACTCCGCCCGCCACAGAACACCCTCCCTCGCAGGCCCTGTCGGAGGCTCCCCACACCCGCCCGTACCTCGGGGCTAGACTCCCGGCCTCCGACACATTCCCAAAGGAAAGTACGGGCACACTTGGGCACGGGATCAATGTCCCCCCCACTTCCCGCGAGACCGAAGGACACCGGGACGCCACTTCCGGCGCCTCAGCAGGCGGGCGCATGCGCAATAGCCGTGCCGGCCCGGCGGCGGGCGTGGCTCCCGGCCGGCGGTGACCGGGGCGATTGGGGGTGTCTTTCTTCTTGTGGGGTTGTTGCAGCCTCTCGGGCTCACCCGGTCTCTCGCGCACCCTGGCTGTGCCCCCCATCACCTCTCAGTTCGAGCCCTCTGCCACCCCCATCCATCCCTCAGAGCCGGCTCCCGCTCCGTGCTGCTGCCCGCATGGCGTGGGGTGCGCTGAGGGCTGCACCGCGTTGTTTGCTATAATTGATGTGCTTGGCGTTTTTGCCCCATCCCCAGTGAATCCTGGGGACACTTTACTTAGAGCAGTCCCTAGGAACCGGAGTGCGGTTTCCAAGTCCCAAGATTTACTCTGGTGGACGTGACCAAAGCACCGGGTGCTAAATATCCTACCCCTCAGAACAGATAAAGGACCACTGTTTCAAAGCCTCAAATATCAACCTGTGCTGCTAAAACTGTGAGACATTAAACAAATAATATGATTTTTATTTTGGGTTCGAGCTTTTTTGTAGTTGGTGGTGATGTTTTTATTCAGATCTTTGAGACCTTGCCAGCCTCTAGCTGTGTGATTGCAAGGACTAGGCAGCTGCTTTTAGCAGGAGATGAGTTTTCAGCTCATGGCCCCTTCCCAGGAGCAGAACTTGATCGAGACCATCAAACACCCAAGTTAGCCACCCCAAGATTTGGAAGTTCTAGAACCACAGAATCAGGGAATCAGTTAGGTTGGAAAAGACCCCTGAGATCATTTGAGTCCAAGCTATGACTGAACATCAGCATGTCAACTAGACCAACTAAGTGCCACATCCAGTCTTTCCTTAAACACGTCCAGGGACAGTGACTCCACCACCTCCCTGGGCAGTCCATTCCAATGTTTAACAACCCTTTCCATGAAGAAATTCCTCCTGATGTCCAGCCTGAACCTCCCCTGCCACAGCTATGTCCTCTTGTCCTGTCACTTGTTACCTGGAAGAAGAGGCTGATCCCTACCTGGCTACAACCTCCTTTCAGGTAGATGTAGAGAGCAGTAAGGTCATGCCCGAGCCTCCTTTTCTCCAGGCTAAACAACTCCAGCTCCCTCAGCCACCCCTCATAGGACTTACCCTCCAGACCCTTCACCAGCTTCATTGCCCTTCTCTGGACCTGCTCCAGCACCTCAATGTCCTTTCTGAATTGAGGGGCCCAGAACTGGACACAGCATTAGAGGTGAAGCCCCACCAGTGCCAAGTACAGCAGGAAAGAAGATAAGACAGCTGCTTAGATTACATGGCCTATTTTCAAATGCACAGAGCATCCCGTTATTTTAATGTTAACCAACACTTTTGGAACTGCCCAGGGGAAAGCTCACTGTTGCGGAATAGGCAGGCTTTTGTCGGACCCAGCTCACACATGAGCGTTTCTTGGTCAGTACAAGGCCTAGAAAATATGTTTGTTGAAGTAATTCCACACAGCAGCAGGTGGCAGGCTGGTTCCATTTTTGGTCTGTTCTAGCTTCTTCAACTCAATACATCTTTTATCGATAGATGGCACTTGTCTCTGGATGAGATCTGTTTTGGTGGTGTTGGGAGCTAACCAGTATCACAAGGTTTAGGAAACAGCTACTGAAATTAAATCTCTACAGTTTTCAGTCATTCATTTCTGGCCAGATCAAAATGTATTACATTGCTATAGTAATATATACCTGTCATGAAAAACAATAAAACAATAAAACTAATGTGCCCCACACAGTAAAGTTTCTAAATCCAATATATAGAAAGCTTCTTAATGGTATTACTTATACACAGAGATTTTCTTAATGGTGCCTGTAAACAGTTTGTAACATAATAGGTTATAGTGGGATCAGTTGTATATGTATTGTTGACATAAATATTTAGGTCAAGGGGAAATGAATTAGTTTAATATGAGATTTTTCAAAACACAAGTGAAATTAAAGGCATAGGTTGAGCATGAACTGTTAATGACTACAATGATTATTATGTGGTGACACATTCACAGTGAAACAAAGATGACTAACCTATTTTTCAAAAAGACAGCAATGCGCATAGTTGGACTTTCTTACTTTAACAGCCTTTTTATCTTTTACCTGCCCTTCTACATCCAACTGGACTAGCTAAGTGACTCTGTATGCTGTAAATCAGTGTTGTAAAGCACACAAGTGACTCATTACTTAAATATTTAATTTAAAACATTTTATATTTTCATAAACCAAGTAAAGACCTTATTTTCCTTTGTCTAGGGACATAAAGTATCTTCATTCCTATTGACAGGATCTCTTTCTTGCCACTGTAAATGAAAGCAGAAATTAATCATTAATAGCTGCTAGTGTCAATCAGCCAAGTGGAGGTCTGTGTTTATAATAAAATTGATTAATACATCATTAATCAATAGTACTTTCCTAGGCATTTGTCCAATGATAATCTAAAGAGTGATTTTTTTTTTTTTTTAAACTGCAATAACATCAGAAAAGGTAGCACACATAAAAGGAAACAGGTTTGGAATTGGCTTGGGATTATCTGAGATAGCAGAGCCAAACTTATTAGTATCCTGCTAGCATACTGCATCTCTGGTTTTTATCCATGACTTTGAGTACTACTGTGTTTGCATTTTGTAGTGATATCTTTATATTGCACTACTGAATTACTCACTGACATACAAAGTCACATGAGAAGGAAGCCAAGCAGTCAGTGCTAATGTCTTTTTTTACAAAATACAAACTGCACTGTGTCTCTGGTTCTCCATGACGTGCTACTAAAGCTGGAATAATTTTATGGGAGCCATGTGCTGCTCTTGAAAAGTCAGTTTTGTCTCTCCTATATGACTGATTTATCAGTGGAATTACAGAAGGTTATCAGAAGCACACGTTATTATGTGAATTTATCAAAAGAAGTGGAAAATAGAAAGCAACGGAATGCCAATTTTATGCAGCATTGAGGTCCATATTTACATGACATTATAACATATGATGTAACATTCAAAAAGTAAGTGAAGTTTTCATGTGGGTTTCATTTGCTTTAACAGAAGATGTACTTAAAAAAAAAAAAAGACACTTGTCTGATAATATCTTCACAGTGATTCAGAAGCAGAGTGTACTTTCAGCTTGGTAATGCACCATCCCTCGTTCCTGATGTAATAGGAAATAATTAATGTTTAGGGAAGGAGTTACAAGTTTGGACATTTCAGCTTTTCTAAGATATCATCTCCTCCTTCTTGACAAGCATGAATAGTTCCAGATGCAGAGTAAGGCTGTGTTAATGGAAAGGACAATTTACTTATACATTCATATAACCTTTTTATTATGAAAATCAGCAGACCTAGAAGAGCTTGGCCCCATTTCCTGGCCAAAACAGCATTGCTCTGCTGTTTACATTCTACCTGAGAGAAGAACGCAAATGTTGTCACTATTAATGTTCACAGTTTAATTCCTTGTTGAAGTCAGATGGCAAAAATATAACACTCTGGGGTAAAAAAGTTATAAAGCTGTTTGGCAGTAGAGGGGAATTCAGCCTTTCATTTTAGCATGGTAGGACAACAGACAGGTCTGTCTCCAAACAGAGCAAACACTGTCTTTGTCATCATGAACACCCATCTCCAAATGACAAGGAAAAGGCTTATGAGGCTGAAAATAGCATAAGGAGCAGCTGAACTTGAAAATCTGAGTTCAAATCTCTCTGTTTTCTTATCCTGCTAGAGAATGAGAGTACTTCAGAGGTGACATGCTTTTGTCTGCAAAGGTATACAGAAACTGCGAGACAATTATGAAGAAAATAACCAATTGCAGTTGCTTGCTCCATACATAGCAGACATAGGGGAGTTTTTGAGATTATGTTAGTGATTTTTTTAGGATATATTCTGGATTCTAGTCATAACTTTGATTTGTTGTGTAGCCTCAGATCAGCTGTGCCTGCCCTAATTATTCTTCTACCACCTTGATTAGTAGCTGTGTTAAGATCAATGTTTTTGTCTGAAAAAGGGTTGCAAGTTTTTAAATAGCATCAAACACATGCTCTGTACTGTCACTGAGCATGGCATTTTTGGGGCAGTACACAATAAATAATAAATAGTCCCAAATAATATTATCACAGGTATGTTACTCTTTGAGAAATGACAGTGAGATGACAATGAGACAAAGATTGTTCAGTTTAGGGACTATGGGAAAATTAGATAATACACCTTGAGAAGCCTTATCAAGGGTTCTGGTATATGGATGAGGTATAGTTATTACGATCACTGTGCATGGTTAGAGGCAAGGCAAAAATATGCAGCTATCTGTCACAAAGTGAGAAAGCAAGTAGCAATCAGTCTGTGCAATATTTTTCCTTGTATCAGAGCTATAAAGGTGCCTAAATGCCAATTCAAGGTCACAAGCTGGATATGGTAGTTAGATTCTGTGTTCCTCACTCAACCAAGTATCCCTGATTACAGAGGTGGTGGATGCCCCATCCCTGAAAACATTCATGGTCAGGTTGGACAGGGCTCTGAGTAACCTGATCTAGCTGGAGCTGTCCTTGATCGTTGCAGAGGACTTGGTCTAGATGAGTTGTACAGGTCCCTTCCAACCCAAAGTATCCTATGATTCTGTGATTGCAGAGGCAGATCAAGCTTTGCACCCCATTTCTACTCTCCTCAGCCAGGACCTGAGCTGAGAATGGCACTCAACTTGCTGCTGGCACTTTTGGCCACAGAGATAAGTCTGTATCTCCAACCTGCTGCCTAGGCTCAAAAGCAAGAGCCTAACCCAGTGGCTTCACTGGGACCACTAATGTAAGTGTGAAAGGATCGAATCCAACCACAGCAACCCAGCAGACACAGCATTTGTACCTCCAAAGAATAATTTGTCACTTAATCACTTTCTTTTAGAAAGACTGTCTACCAAGGGGGAGGGGAGCCTTGTGCACAAGCAGGCTTTTGATCTCGGTGAAGCTCAGAGG